AATTTTACTTCTGAGAAATTGTTTATAAGCAGTCAAAGTTTTCTGTGACGAATAAGGTCTTGGTAAAACGAGTGGACTGCATGGGTAGGTAATTGTCTTAAATAGCAGCGAGGTAAATAAATAGATATGTAATAGATATGTAAGGTAAATAAATAGATATGATTGGCCTGAACAACGTGGGATGGCGGCAAGCTTGTTAGAAACGAACGCACGAAGCATAATTTGGATCAGCGATATCTCAAGTTTATGAGTATGAATAGATATCAAATTGCCTATGGTGAGATGAACCGCTAACGGAAGAGAAAGATTAACAAGTGAATAAACTTAAACTAATTATTTGTAATTTGCAAGCCTAAGCTATATCTGTAATTATTTGTAATTAAACTGTAATTATTTGTAATTTGTAGATTAAAACCAAATTAGATTATTTGTTATAGAAAAAGAATACCAGGTTACCATTTACCAATAACAAAATACTATTCAAAACACTTCCCGGCTCCATAAATGAATGCAAATTTCACTGTCCGTAAGCTTTCAACTCAACTAGTTACTTGCAATATTATTCATGACTGTTACTTTTAAGTATCTTCAATTCATATACAAGAAGGGGGATATTTTTAATAATGGAAGATTGCGTCAGAAGATTGTTTTAATTTAAACATGAATTTGACGATCCATGCTGTCGAATTCAATTTCCAATGTCGCCAATATTCTCAGCAAGATCAGGTAAAGTTTTTTGGACTCTATTCTCTAAAATAAATAATGTATAAAATATATATTAATACCGGGACTTGTGCATGCCATTAAATTCATTTTACATTTATTGAGAAACTTTTAGAGAGTCGCTTCCTCGCCACAAGACAATGATCGCTAACAGCCAGCAAACCCCCGATCTCTGAAATTTGTTTCAATTCTCGTAGGAGTTACACAAATTTGGATATAGTAACATAACAATCAAATAACATGTAGTTAGTTCAACGGCCTGCTAGCTGAGAGATTGATAGTAAAATATTGAAATTTTATTTTGTGACGTGATTTCTAAATGAAAAATCAACGAACAAAAGAGAAATCCAAGCAATCTCTTACTAACTTTTGATCAAATTCCGGACGCCTAATGCTGAGGCTAAGAACCTAGAACGGGATCATAAAATAATAATGTTCAATCTCAGTATCTATTTGATAAAAGAGTCATATTCAAAAACACATTTAATATAGAACTTAAATATTCCCATAATTCGTTTAAATTAGAACACAATTTAAAATTAAAATGAAACATTTAAATTATTAAATTCATCATTTGAAGTACAGTTTAATTTTGTAAGTGAAATTTCAACCAACCAAACCCAACCGACATTCAAATTTTAATCCACCGAGCTACCTTGTTTTAGGATGACTCGGGATTTTGTGGGAAATTTCCCACAGTTACTTAGTTTGTTAATTTCTTTTACTTTGTTTCATTAGAATAAGATTATTGTTGCGTTCAATCTAGGGTAAGTTTATTGTTAGGGAGTTTAATTCAGGGCCGGGATTCCGAAGTCAGAGGTTGGAACTGGGACTCCGCGGCATTAAGACTTTTTTTGTGAACCTACAAACTACCTGTCGTCAGCCGCCGCTACATCATCAGCAATTTTCAACCCTAAGTCTAATCATCTCCCTAGAACTGTGATTTGTCTATTCCTTGGTTTGCGTGCCCGATTTTCTTTCATTTTGTTAAGTTCGCTTAAGTCTATGCTTAATTTTCGTGTGAGATGCTTCAGACTTCAATTATCTTATTTATTCAAATTTAATTGTTAACTTGAGTTGACGAGGCTCTAACTACAGCTCTGTCGTAGAGTTTATGCCAAGTCGCTTTAACTTTAATCTTACTTCAAACCATCCAATCTTCAACTTTACTAACTGTCTTTCCGTCTGAAGCATCCTCCTTCTACTGATTTCTTCTTTTTTCCTTGAATTCAACTCTTCCCTAAGAGTGCGTTAGCACACTGAGCGGCAATATTATCTCAGGTGAAACCAGGTACATTTTATTTGCCACCAACTGATTTGAATTCACTGCTTTTCGCTCCTGCTAATGTTCCGCATTTATTTTTACTGTAATGAAAATTTACGTAAAATCCATTCTTGACAGTATGAACTACAAGCTGGTGTGTAGCTGGTGGTGACTCGGCCGCTTCCATGTCAACTTTTGCAGCAGTTCGTCTCTAGACGCGGTTCCGGCCCTCATATCCAATTGATTTACCAATTTGATGAAGAGATTCCGTTCCTCGGCTGCGAGAATGCAGGCCCTCAAGAACTCTATTCAAGTCAATTCTCTTGCCAATAAAAGTTTCTAAAGTTTATCATGCATCACTGCCTATAATTGAATAACGATTGTATGAAAATAGTCATAATTTCAGCCCTAAAAACTAATTTTAAGTACAATTCATTTCCCAATACCGAATGTATTGTGGATAAGCAGTCGAATAATCCAGATAAGTTGTTGTAAATACTCACAACTTTCATAAATAAGAAATATATTGCAACAATCTCTGCCTTTTGAATCAAAATTTACGGAAAAGATGTATAGTATCAATATAGCTTAGATACAAAAATAACGTTCTTGTCAGCAATATACCAAAGAAGCATCTAAAAACTTTGTATCTCATTCATCTGAACGCCATTTATTCATTCCAAAAATTTACTATAAAAGAAGAGTTGTAAAACTAAGTGAGGACATTCACATTCAGCTTTGCATATTTATGCACATTGTAGAATTTTGAAGACTTCTCAAGATATTAGAAGATAGAAATTTTCCTAAGCTAATTTTAGTGGTAAATTTAAGTATATGAAATTTTCTTACTGACATTGACAAACTCAAAATCTCGTCACGTGACATTATGCATGGTAGCGATGTCATGATCAGGAGCCAATGACAGTACGATAACCAAGATGATCTGATAAAGATGACCGCTCATCTGATAAAAATTATTGTATATTTTTAGCGAAATAAATGATCGCGGCTACTATTTACAGGCGATGTAATGTAATGCAGTAATGATTATTACAGAATATACTATGGCCCTCGTCACATGGAATAGTATAATAAATTAAACGTTTGTCGATTCAGAAATGTAATGAAAAAATAATTTGGTCAGAATAGCTTTGCCAATTTCAAAAATTTATTTCGCGACGTTCACCACAAATGCCAAATATTTACTCGGCATCCCATACATCTTTGATGAATCAAGTGGTTTCAGATTTGTATTCGATTAGAAGAAGAAAATCGAGGTGATAATTTTCCACTGCGCTTAACTATTAACATTAAAGTATCTTTGGTATCATAACCGTCAATTTATTTTGTGTATGCCTGCTTGTATTGATAATAGTCGCTGAGAAATCGGCAAGCATAATCAGGGGGCGAAAAAATTGTAAACAAATGTTGAACTACTTCGGACGTAATAGTCAAATCAATTAGCAATTAAATAAAAAACCTATCAATAAAAGCAGCCTTAACGAGCCCAGCAGGTTTTTCACTTCCTCAAAGTGCGCTGCAGTGGAATTTTACGGCGGTTAATGAAATGAAAATGGCGCTAAGCAACGATTCCCTGGAGTTCGATCGTCATGAATAAAAGTTTGACTCATATCATGAACGAAAAATAAATTTGATATTTTTAATAAAACTGCGCTTTTTGGACCTCAAGAATTTATGAATACAAATTGTATATTCTCCCAAAGAATATAGTATATTAATATCAAGCTAAAATTCGGGGAGACTGCCTTCTCCACCATAAGGTGAGAAAGTACAGTATGCGCGCAAAACTGGCATGCAATAGTTTATCATTTGGATCTTATATTTATCTTGCATTTATATTAAAGGTATAGTCGAGAACAATTATTCAGTCAATAGAGCTAATTTAACTATTTTAATTGAACTGAAAAACCGACAAAGATCTACCGGCATGTAGCGCTTTTATTACATTCTAATGAGCTATTATGTAAGCAGTCTAGAGTATATGGCAGTTCATCCCATCTTTTTCCGACATCATTTGTCAGATAAAAGTTCAGCCATCACACTTGAAACCTGAAACAGGCGCGGGAACAGATCAAATTAAGCCTATCTTGCTAGATTTAATCGTGAATGAGTTGTAATATTGCTATATAGTTTCGTAAGATATTAATTTCGAAGAGAAAAAAGTTTTCAGAGCACAAATTGACGCGTCGGTGGCGATCGGTGGTGGTTGCTGGCAGCGTATCTCAGGTTGGCACCCGCCAGGCGCCTATATTTGGCCGGTGTCTGAAGCAGGGCCACAGCTCCACTTACATTTCTCCTCAAACAATCAATATGCAACTTCATAGAGGAACTGGGAAAATGACTAGCATATTTCGTATGTATGTTTTGACTTTCAGTGTAGTAAAATTTTTACAAGTATTTTGAAATATTTTTTGTACATTTCCTCCTATTGATGGATGTGTGTACTGTATCTATTGCAAAGGATCGAAAATGGAAATCAAATTTGAAAATCAAAAGTTTCGCGTGGTAAACCGCTTCAAGTGTCTTCATGGAGCACGAAAAATTCAAATTATATTGTCATGTTCGACCGCGAGAGAAAAAAAATGTAGCAAAACAGCTTAACTATTTCATTACGAAACGCAATTCTCGTGGTTGAACGCGCGACTGCAGGTTCTTAGTAACCGTCGAGCTCACCACAGCTTCTTTTGTCCACATCACTGGTAATTCTGCAGCCGTTGCTACTTGCAAGAGAATATTCCTCGCAAGGACTCAACGAACATCAGAGAATATTTTATACAAAATACTATTGGGCCATTAGTATTTATGATTAGAGAAAATACAAAGGTGTAACACATTATTCAAATCTTCTATTCAGAAATAGTTATGGTGCAAAGCAGCATGTGTGACAGGTTGTTTCATTGCACAACTCTCTTTCCCTCAGACAGTTTAAATATGTCTTAAGTACTGTCAAGTCCTTGCAAACAAATTAATACTGCCATTTGAAGCAACTTACTGCAGAGAGAGACGATGAAACTTAGCAAATCACAGGACTTGGCACAATAAGCACAGCTCACTACACCAACGAGAGTCGCTACGGTAGGAACAAGAGTGACACACCACTTCTGAATCACTGAGGGCAGGTGCCTCCGGTCAGGCGGAGAGGAGGAGAGCTACTGCTGAATAACAAGGGGCCGAACACAGGGCCTTCCCGTCTCAGGGCATCGTGCCATGGGCCCCCTCAGCCCCCGGGGTGACAGAGGTTCTTTTCCCACTTGCCGTCAGGTTGCAGGCCTCTTCTTATACTCACACGTTTGCAAGCTGAAAATTATGTAGGAAACTGTAGATGTCACTGGTACGTGTAGATTTCTAGGAATCACGATGCGAAACACCTTGCAGAATACCCTGGAATGCTGCTTATATATGACCTATTCACTACCAGCGATGCCGTGTAGAGAGATGTGTAGTGGGATGTGTAGAGGGATGTGTATAGGGATGTGTAGAGGGATGTGTAGAGGGATGTGTAGAGGGATGTGTAGAGGGATGTGTAGAGGGATGTGTAGAGGGATGTGTAGAGGGATGTGTTAGAGGGATGTATAGAGGGATGTGTAGAGGGATGTGTAGAGGGATGTATAGAGGGATGTTCAGTGCCATGTTGGTCACAAGGCACATTCCTGGGCCCTCGCCCCACGCACTCTGTGGTATGAAGACGATGAACTAAATTCCGATTCAGAATCAATATAATTAGACTCGGTTCATTGCTGCCCTCCGTTGTTAAACGTGAATCCATTTACTGAGTGGCTTAGCGTAAAAGATGAAATTATGCTTGATGATAAATGCTGTTTGGTCTTGATAAAATTTTAGCAATGTTGAGATGCACGACTACGTATTATTAATTTACAAATTTATATCTTTTATTTATGCGTGATGACCTATTTGAACTTGATGAAGAATTATGAAGTAAAGGTGTAGATAAGGAATTTTTATGTGCTGCCGTGACTCTTTTACATAAAGTGTTATTCTTTTTTCACAGTCAGCGGATTTACGAGTTGTCATTTTGATTGTCTTCTTATTCCGTGGCTTCAAAAATTCAAAGACCAAGTACCGAGTGATAAAAAAGTCTGATTCCCGATAATCATTCAATAAAGGAAAAAATATAACATCATTTTCCTTTGAAACCGCTTTTTAGCATTTTTCTACTAATCGACGAGTTACTTGGTGTTGCTCTTACGTAACGTATAGAGTTTATGAGAGCCGAGGTTAGTGTAACTTTTCAGAGAAACTGAAGCATAAATAAAATTTGGAAACGATATTCGTTCTTCACCTTCATCCTGTTTTCCACCAGTAGTTTTGGTGGCCTGGATTTCATATTTTGTCGCCTCTCAGGTGGTCTACATTCTACAACAATTGCGAACCATCGCAATCAATAGGCGTTATCGCAGTAAGTTGTCGTAAATATCGATCACGGTAATTCTATCAGCTTGACAGTAATCTGATTGATATAAGTACCGAGAATCCTTTCACGATAATTTTTCTTCATAACGAGCAAAACCATAAATTTTTCACGAATTAAAATATTTACGAGCCCACGGCCGCCAGTAGCCGAAAAACATGCAAGTCCGCTAGGCTCAGTCACTCTTTAGGTGCCGGGAAGGAGTTGCGGAAACTAGTCAACAATAAAATTTTCAAGACAGCAATTATCATAATTTAACAGCTGACAAGTTGCATGGCCATGTCTGTCGGCCCATTCTGATACAATTGCTGGTGTAAAAAGTAATTAAAATTATTTAAGTTGTTAACAATTTTTATAAGCTTAAGTGAAAGAACAATCGACATCTAATATTTAGTTGCAGTTATTAAAGGCTGCGAGTCGGCTCAGATGAGCATTATATTCTACGACTACTGGGCATAAGGGTTTGGTTTGATGGGGGATGAATTCTTTAATATTTTTAGGGTACGTACACGTACACTTGTGGTTGTCTATGGACACAAAAAATAATATGCGTTTAAAAATTATTTTTTAAAGACAACACTTCTAAAGAATTCACTGTCTGCGATGTTACAAATGTAGAATGAATTTCCAATTTTATTATCATATATTAAAAAAATTAATTTTTGAAGTTTATTAAAAAAATTTCAACATTTTTTATTCTGTCAATTGAATCATGCATTGTCTCCAACTTTAAGCAAGTGCACAAAATTTCAGATCGGTTGGACGAGTAGGAGTGTGTTAAATAGTGATTATAAGATATGTAGCCGACAAAATTATTTTTTCAAATTTTTTTAATAATAAATAAAATTAGTTTAAATTTTTAAAATTATTTATTCTATCAATTGATTTATGCATTGTCTCCAACTTTACGCTAGTGTACCAAATTTCAGATCGATTAGAGAGGTAGAAGCGTGTTAAATATCGATTATAAAATTTATGGCAGACAGACAACAAGAAGTGAAGTTAAAGGGAAGTGTTGTAAAAATAATAAAACCATTACAAATTTTAAATAATAATAATTTTTCGGCAGCAGCAAGGGTATGTATTAGTAAAGACTGTGTCGTGAAGCAGTCTCTCTAAAGGCATGACGTGCAAGTTTGCGTGGGATAGATGAATGTTGCAGCTCTGCGTACAGACAGTGGCTGTTGTTTTGGCATTGTTTGCTTCCTAGAAGGGAATTTGTACCTTTAGTTTCTGGCTGATAATCTCTTATGGTACTAAATGCTCTCTTTCATGCTTGCCCGTGGACTGAAACGTATAAGAATTACACTTGCTGCGCCTCACGGAATTCTCTCTTCAGTTTCGAAGTCATAAAATATGCAATATTTTTCTCTTCAATGGAAAACCTGCTAGTGGTGTTCCAAAATATACTTATTTACGTTTATGTTGTATCCTTTTTTTCAGTTTTTGTGCATTCGCAGTCATATGTCGGTCATAACTTAATAATTATTGTAGTTTTGCAAGTAAGATGCGCCTGTTAAAGGTATTTGCTTGTAACGATTCCACCTTCCAGTGACACTTTACCAGTTTTAGAATCATGAGATTAGAGTAATCTAGAACCTCATAAGTTATGAGCGCCAATAATCGGGGCACACTTTTTCGACGTGTTTGTTTTTAAAGTTATAAAAAAGCAGGTAAATTCACCATATCTTAATCATAACCATTTCTGAGACCTGCTCCAACGGCAATTCAAATACTAAAGGAACGCAAGGACCATTAATCGAGAGAGGTCAAATTTGAAGCGGAATAAATTGAAACGAAAAAAAAGAAACGTAAAATCCTAACGATTCAAAATTACTTCCGAACCAAACGATATAGCGGATTTAATTTACGGTTTTTTCTTTTATATTAATTCCTGGTAATTCAGCAAATAATTAATGATGCAAGTACTTATTATGTAAAGAAACTTACACTTTTTTCTCCCTGAGAAAATTTGTCTCGTTAGTCTTCGATTCCATTTGCTCTCACGAAAATTTTAGAAACTTGAATAAATTTCCATAAATACTGGGGACATTTTCCAGAAAGATAAAGTAAATTTGTTCCAAGGCTATATAATTCGTATGTTCAGCTCTGAAGTGAATTAACGGGACAGCAATTTGTTGCTCCCCAAAGAAAGATAAGTTCGAAGGTTACGTCATGCCTCGTAGGTTGCATCATGCCTCAGTTACGCTGGCACATGACGTGGAATGATCATTCAGTCTTTCGACATATTCAACTAACGATAGAATGTTTCACTGTCATAAAGTGGTAGAAATCTGCACTAGACTATATTCATGGAAGTCGCTATCTCAATCACTCTCTTGTAACAGATCCTGAAGATGAATAAGTAAGATACAGATATACAGATCCGACATCCTCTTAAGTCCTCGAGTACCAGATTGTTCGCGGGTCAAGAAAGATATAATTATCCTTGTCTTTCAATATTCGTATGAAAATGATGCAGACTCTATCACTGTTGCGTTCAAGTAGTAGGATTATGATGCAGGTGCAGTGTCATTAATGTGGCGTCTAAGTTGCATGAACAATAATGCAGAGGAAATGACAATGTTGCGTTCAAGTTGCAGGAATAATGATGCAGAGGCTAAGACTGCTGCGTTCTATTTGTGGAAACTGCATCTTTATCCCAAATCATTCATTGAAATTAATTAAATTTTTTTTTTTCATCAGCTAACTAATTTTTCAAAACTAAATTTCGCTGCCACTTCACGAGCGTAACTTCACGTGACTTATACGATAGAAGTATTTCAAGATTATTATTTACCATTTATCAATTTCTTCTCTTCCGAAATACAGCTTTGTTATCTGCTAATTTATTTATCTACATCATCGGTTACGAAGCATAGAGAACTATGCTGCTTAGCTCTCTGAATACCTTATCAAAATTTTCTTATAAAGTTTGCACTTCCTGCTTCTTCTTTTCCATGCTTTAAGGAACCGTCCTAGCAAATTGGATCAATTAAACTTTACTACAGCAACAGCACTTTAGATGTGATAACAAGTATACAAATTATTTGTAGTGATCTATTGTTTCTCATTAAAATTGCAGAAAGAATAATCATTTACATCATGAAATCTGATATATCAAATTATAACCAATATTTTTGAAGAAGACTTATAGTCGAATGTGTTAATATATTGCCAAAATATTTATGTATAAGGTGAAGCCTAAATATCAAAGTTTTTTTTAATTGTAGCATATAATTTTTCATAAAAAAATTCAATTTTTTTACCAAATATTTTTAACGCTGAAACAGAAAATTCGTGAATAAAGGTAAAGCATTTACAAATTACTAGCATCCCGCATACTGCGCTACTCTGCTATTAACTTCTACCTTCTCCGTGCCATCTAACTCTTCCGATTCTGGTGTTGAAGCAAGGGCCAGAGTAACTTTTATTTCGTATATGAAGCAGCGAGAATCACTCTTCAACCTAAGATAATTTAAAAAGAAATCTCTATTCATAAATCTGAAAAAGTCCACGGATAAGGTACCGAATATTCAAGTACTTATCAGACATTAGGGCTGCAGAAATAGTTGTTAGTGTTATGTGAACGTTGCGATGTACAACGTATACAAACTGCACCTGATTTAGGAATAACTAACTGTGGTTGTAAGTAAACAGCCCATTCCCATTATCCATAGTGAAATGTGCTGCCACTCATCGCAAATAAATAAAT